AAAGAAATAAATTAGCTATTTCTCAATCTCGACACGTAAATATTTTAAACTACACTTGATTCGATCAATGATTGCGACGGTTTGTATTCGCACATCGTTCACTTTGATGCGTTTTGGCATCCTACGGATTTCAGATGCGAATGTAGCATCCATTCACCACCTTCAATTACACAATGATGCTCGACGACAAGAAAGCTTTGTTGCACTATAATTGAGTTCTACAACGCGGCATACATCATAACACGAGCAAGCTACCTCATATCGAAGAGGTGGCGTGGTCATCATCCTTTTAATTCTGTGCAGCTGATTGCTGAGGCCGCTGGTTGCACAACTTTCGATGCGACATAGACCCGCGCTGCACATACCACTTATTTGTCATTTCAGGGCACGTTTATACGGAAGCTAGCCTAAACTATGCAGTACCACCACGCAACTGCAACGTATAACAATCGTTGACGCACCCGATATAAAGGCAGCATCAGATAAACATAAACTTCTAGGATCGACATTGTCAAATGATTGGTATCTATCCGAACCCAAGTAATCGTTTATGGGTGAATGTTTGCAAGTGTACGTCTGTCTGTAAGTTTCTGTATCAAGGATGTCGCTAATTATACCGAATACGTTTTTTGTGTACTAAACACACACACTAAATACGTACTGCAAAGCAATCGTAGCCGGTAAGTCTTTACAGCATATTAATGATCGCGAGAAATAATACCAACCTCGTTAAAAGCTCTGACGTTATTTATGCTCTTGTAGAATCTTTACCTGGTATCAATATCTTATGGGGTCGTATCTTTATCATCGTTTACAACCTTGTTTACGCGACATATTGACATGGGGCAGACTTTTCTTGTTGAATTTTAGTAAAACATCGTAGCTAAGACAACAGCTGCAATATTTTTCCTATTCTAAACGAGTAAGACGTAGTAGATCAAATCCTATACAAAAAAGGCCTTTCCACACTAGCAATAAGTATGGCCCCAAGGCTACGCTGAAGCGTCAACGCATACATACGGCAGGCGACGGAAATTTTAAACGATATTATATTACATTTGTGCGGGAGGAAATGAGAAGACATGCGTTGATTCATACAAGTGTTTCCTGGTCGCGTATAATTGGTTCTACAGCAGAATAGGTGATATTCAGGTATTAGCCACGTGGTGGATACTTCGTATTATCCATTTTTGTGGCGCCCTTATTTATTTTGTGCTTTATATATTCTATCACCCTGTGGTACATATTTGTTTTGTGATTATCGTGTGCGTCTTTCATTTTATTCTCAAATAATCGCGCGTTCGTAAGCTAACGCTATACACGTCCAGAAAAGGAGTATAAGCCTCAACAAAGCACAAACCACGTCAAACATGCCTTGTTCTGCTTTAAAAACCTGATTGGGACAATTTTAAATTTGTCTGAGCAAAAAACTTTGTTCCCAGGATATAGTCGCTTTGCCTCCACGGCAGTCGGAACAACTTCTAGCACATCGTAATGCTCACGTACCTTTTGACTTTGTTAGCAAACCAGCAAGGTCTTCAAAAGTGTAACCAACAGCGTAGAATGCGGAATAAATGTAATAATGTAGCTAGGAGTAGTACTTGAACTTGCACACAGCGACCCTTCGCAGTAAATCAACTTTGCTCCGGGGGACTTGCGCAGTCGATCTAGTAAATTAGTTTCTTTCTCTCGGCGTAGTCGATCTTGTTTAATCTAGATAAAATTCACGGTCGCTAAAATCACTTCTCTTCAGCGGCGGTGGTTCCGATGCACTTGATGCACTTGATCAGCCAACAGCACACAATCATCCAGCAGACTTTTCATATCGTGTACAAGATCTTCCTTTTTATTAACCTCTCCTTATCTAAGCTATTGATGCGCGTCTTTTTGCAAAACAATGTCATGTCTCCTTTGCATTCATGGAGACTGCATCCTATGCCCATCTGTAAAAGGATCATATATGTATCCGTCTCTATCGAAACACTCTCATGTGTTCCAGTCTTTGCAGAAAGTGCCTTTCGTACCTTGGTTTGAGAAATAAGATGCCACTGGAGGCCACAATTACTCAACTTGTCGTACTTACGCTCGTTATCGCCGCGGGCTTGCCTCTGTCGTCACGACAGCAATTTGCTCACTATAATTTCTAGCTTTTCCGTTGATCTCGCGGCTGTGTCAAGGGCATGCTGGGCGAGGTGGTGTTCCCCTAAAATGTATACACCCAACGGTGGCATAGCGTCTATTGATCAAAGCAAAATAGCTAATCATTTTGACGCTACTTATGTTCGAAGGGGACGAGAGAATGTGTGGTAATTTATTGGCCCGCGAGGCACAAGATTCTGAAGGGCAAGCCGTATGATATATTACCTAATCTAGATCCATGTCTGCAGAGGCTGCCGTCCAGATAGTGGTGGAGACGCATTAGCGGTGGCGTAAACTTTGGCAGGATAGATCAAATGCAAAGGTAGCTGCGACATAACCGATCATTGTGCTGAGCATCAGGTCCATGATTTGAAAGCGCAGACAGTTCTTGAACGCAATTATGCAAACGATTGTTTAGGAATTCGATAAGAAGCATGGCAGGCACAATTATTGCGTGGGTGGAAGTTTAACGGCTGACGCGTGTCTATTGAATGCAATTTGGAAGCTCAATAGATTGGATTCAAGTTGGTGCGAATTGAAGCAGGCGTAAAATACGCTATGACAGCTTGTCCAGCCGCAAATGATCAGACGGTGATGATGTACAGCAATCGAGTATGTTAAAGTGGCACTTAACTGAACTAGCTAAGCTAATCGAATATATTTTTTACTTCACCGTCAGCAGCAGTTACATAAGCGCTGATAAGTCGCGATTAGATGACGCGTATTATCGTAGCTTTTAACGATGCACTATGTGGGCTCGACCGATTACCAGCGTCTCAATGTTCGAGCGATATGCAGTATGTATACAACTGAGATGACATCAAACACTTCAGCGACTTAAATGATTGTGTCGCTAGTACCGACGCGTGCTGTATGTAAAAAATAATTACATAACGATGCGGCAACATCTACAACGGTGTCAAAAAACACACACCCGAAAATGTGGTGACGGAGTGGCGTTATAATGCCTCCGCAAATACGGTTTAGTAGAGCGTGCTCGACCTCTCGATAATTTGATCTTAATGCGGCATCTGATCAACGCATGTGTGAGGAAGTGACCGAAGATAGGTCCGTTGGGACAGTCACGACATATACAGCACTGTTACTCTACAGCCGCTAAGCTACCTAGCAATCGAAAGCATTAACTTTCACGAATATTTGTAATACTTTGGGTTGCTGTGCTGGACTGACCGATCAGTTGAGGTCAATTGTGCAGTCTAGCATAAGTAAATATCTATTATACGTTGGATTGCTGTGCTGGACTGACAGATCAATTGAGGTCAGTTGTGTCAGCCCAGCACAGAAATGCAACGCAGTATGAATGTTCGTGTCAGTAAATGCTTTCAATCGTACCATCTCCTAGTCCGCTCTTTCTAAAGCTGCAAAACGTCGACGAGAGGTAGTTTTAGCGCGCTTAGTGTCGAAGGAATTAATATTCGCGGCGATTCCAGCGTAGGCGACGGTATGGAAATGCGACAACAATCAAAATGAGCAAATATAGATGTGTCTGAGTCAGACGGGTTCGTGGCAACGACGTAGCAAAGTTTCTGTAGACGGGTGTGCTACTTGCGCCACCTTTTTCTGCATCAAACAGATTGCGAGACTCTTCACAACCACCACCAACACGTCACGCGTCCATAAAAGGCGTGAAAAGCGGACTCGAAGCAGGTCATTCTGTGTCGAGGACTAGCTCCAACGTTGAATCGTGTATTTGCCTATGATGCATCGACTCAACATGAAACTTGCACTGGTCGCGACCATTTTAGCACAAAAAGTACTTCTTCTAGGAAGTATGATCTAGCAAGGCGAGCAGGTGTGACGAATATTGATGCTTAAGTTGTCGGTGCTACTGTTTGATTTGCCTTATTACGACCCTGGTGCCGTACCGAGATACATTCAAGTCGAATGAGACCGGCGAGCTGCAATGCCTTAACTGTCGTGCGCTACAGAGATCAAAATCTCTATGCGGCGCTTTACATGGGATAATGGTGAACGAATGAAATACGCAATATATTTACTTTGAGCACTAAAGTTGGCTCCCGCTGAATGTCTTCTCTGCGGTGACTGTTCAAATATGGTTGGTTGGAGACGAGGAGAGGAACGATATCAATTAATTGATGATGTGTTGCTAAAAAAACTGAGGAAGATTTGAGTGATGCTAGATTGACGCTCAAAGTAACCGAACGATGTCTTGCACGTGAGAAAGTACAGCGTCATGCTAGGCATGGTAATTGACCAATATCGGAAGGCAAACATGCCGCTCATAGACACTGTAGCCCTAGCGGCAGCCACGGGGAGTTAGAAGAGTCGCCTAGTGGCTGGTCATTGCGATATCATGGTCATGGCATTCCTAAGGCTTTACCACGATCACACACAAGCAGATAGATAAGATGCAACCAAGCTTTGACTAGTTGTGTTGGCATTGCATATTACGTCAATCTATACAAAGGGAAGTATGACAAGACATTGAAAACCTTGTGTTCGAAGCTGGGAAACATTTAAAGGCAATATGCAACTTTTAGGATAGTGTGCAAATGGATTTGTGGCTATGTTGTAATGCACCTCACCTCACTGTCGGTGGAGCTGAACCGGAGGACACTAACATACCAACTTGGATACATTTGCACGTTACGATAAAAAAGCGTCGTACGTTTGTGGAACTCATCACCACGTACGACAATGTATGCGCTAGTTGTCGTCATATAGTGCTGAGTAAAATTGATTAGGATTAGTCGATTGAGAGCTAGCTCCCACACGCGAAAGATTGTGTACTTGTACTCGCTCTTGCGCGACGTTAAGCTTGCTTCTACAGTAAAGGTTCAAATTGTGTAGGGCGCAGAAATGTAGTACGTAGATTTCGCTTACGTTTGATGGCTCCTTGGCATAGATTTGTCACCTGAGTCAATCAGGGCGAAGTATCCGCGCACTTCAGCAGGCGACTTGCCGGACTCCACCAATCTTGTAAGCGCCTCAAGTTTTTGCTGCTTTATCTCATGGTTAGCGCGCAACTCCATCATCTTAACTTCCAGCTCCTGCTGTTTCTCATCGTGTTGTCGAGCACGCAATTCCAACTGCTTCATCTCCAGCTTTTGCTGGTTCTCGACCTGTTGAGCTTGCAGCCCCAGCTGTTTCAGTTCTACTTCCTGCTTCTTCAGTGCAAGTCGTTGACTTTCTAACAACTGCGCCTGTGTGTCGACAGTCGGTCTTGCTGGCTCGTGCAAAGAGCTCGATACGGACATCACGGTTGACCTTGGCTCGCATCTGTCTGTCGATGATGACGACGTTGACTCACCGCTCGAAGCACCGGCAGTGGGCACGTTGCGTTCAAAAGTCACCATCAAATTGTCCTGGACAACGTCACATTTTTGATCGTTCAACGAACAAGCGTTTAGCGTCGGAGCTAAAGTCGTCTTTCGTTTATCTCGACTCTGACTGTCTCTTCTTGAGCCGAAGAGAGCGTCCACACGTCGGTAGGCCGATGGCAGATCGTTGGGACTTTGGCGCTTAGCTTTTCGAAACGCTGCCATAAAGCTTCCAAAACGACTCCGTGCAGTATTTTCCGACCACTCTGTGTCGGCCACTTGGTTGATGTGAAGAGCCATGGACCGATATCCGTCTATCTTCTTGACACGCTTCGAGCCGAGTGCGGTGGATTGTCTGCTCACTTTAGATCGAATCGGTTTTGTAAGCAGATCAAAATTGCCGGGAAGCTCGAGCCATTGAAGAAGGCACTCCCGCTGTCTTGCTGTCGTGCGCTTGAATTTGCGCTTTCCCGCGCATCGGGATTGTAATGTATCCGTATCCTGGCCGCTGGAAGTGTCGGATAGAGGGAACACTGGCGCGTCGAGGTCTGGGGTGCGAGCTATGGAAGACATTCGAATGAAAGCTGTGCAAGTTTGCCTTTTACAGGTAGAAGTGAATATCGATTGTGCACAAGACGGAACGTCGAACTTTTTTCACTGTCGTAGAAAATACATAAAGCTTGGCCTTTCTTTTTATCTGGAAGCAGGTGCTACCTGCTGCAAACAAGACGTACCAGATGGTATTCTTATATGGACCTTGTGGAATTTCGACATCGAGTCATCTTGCACTATCTGGGGTGTTCAATGATAGATAGCTGACGTGACGAAGCGCGTTCGATCGAATATTAGTGCGAAAGATGGAAGGGTAAATAACAATGCACTACATATACTCACTAGTATTGTAAACATAAAAATACAACAAGAATCTATATTATTTGTGCAAGCATTTTACAAATTTGCCCAGGAATTTAGACCCACTTAAATTATAAATTTCTCGACTTTTCACACAACAACACAGCCATTTCGAAGAGATTCAAGCATTTCTGGTGCTTTGGTATTGTACATCGATTTTTTTATCCTATACGATTCTTAACTTTAACCATGCGGATTGCTGATTGGTAAAATCTTTTCTTCATACGACGAACCTCGTATGATGCGATCATCATTTATTTTGGACCCGCAGAAGAACCCAATGTGTCAGAATAGAAGCAAACTGTACATCAGTACATATCTGCACATTATATGTGAACCGAGAGAAAAGAGGTGCCTGTTTTTGTATGAGCTATCCTCCACAGCAAGTTGTCTGAGATATAACGGGGTAGCCCGTTACATAAAATTACCATTGCGAGAAATGGTAATAAAAAATATTATTTTGATTATTCTATAAACAATATTTCTGAATATTGTTAACTCTTTAGATGACCCAAAGGTCTTCTCATTGCTTTGAAATTGTATTCTTCCCGACCCGCCAATCTCTTCAAGGCGCGCGCAATGGGTGGTGACTAGACGTCATCATACGCTTAGTTATATGATTATAATTGAGTTGGGAAAAAGTCAGAGAATAAAAGAAGGTGGACTCCAATATATGAAATTACAGTTTTACTTTTCCAACGATTAGAGTCTTCACTTTAGTCCTTTACCCTTCATTTGGCCATTATTTAACAGTAATAGGGCACTGACCTTCACTGTAGCCTGCGATAGGTAATTCCGTACTGGTAGTTCAGTACGTAGTTGCCGGTGCCCTGTTACATAAAATGCACTTATCTTAACGGCTTTTGCATGTCAATTGAAAAGATCATCATCGCTATCACTAACAATAGTTTTTTGGGCCATGATGATCCCACAGCGTGGTGCTCTTGCCCAGCATGAGTTCAAACTTGCTTGTTTCCAGCAAACTTTATCAGTACAACGAAATAGTAGAGCTAGTTCATACAGCTGGCGGATTTCTCTGATTTTTTATAGCGTCATTTGGCACAATGCGACTGAAGCCCGTATTAAATACGGTTAATATTGATATCACATATCGTCTTCTTGTTTGTGGGCGCTAGCGCAAGTACATCCCGCTAACACCAGGTCGTTTTTCCAAGTATGAATTGACTATATGGTGTCAGAAGACGGTACAAAGCAACCAGATAAACCAGTCCAGAAGCGATTGACATCATAACAACAAATATTGTGCCCACCAACTTGTATTTGTTGAAGTTGACAATGTACGGACTCCATCAAGCTGTCTGCCATCGGCGATCGAGCGCTGTTGTTTAGGCCAAATCGAGCGTATTATGTCGTTAATGTACGTATGCTGTAAACCCAGCTTGCTTTTCTTGCTCGTTCGAGACTTCAAGCATTTGCACAAAAATCAATAGCATTAAAATGCAAGCGAAACGCTATCTATCAATTCGTTGTGACCTCATGATGTCGCCAATTATCTATTCGTCTTGGGCTGCCTTTGGTGATTTCTATGTTATACTGCGGACCATTATGACGAGACACTATGTCACTTCTGGCGCTCAAATGATCAGCATAATGGTATATCCACGGGCATGGCTACATTGAGTTTTTGTCGGAATAGCTGTGTCAAGGACAGAAGGTATAGGAAGCAATGTAGTAGGATAACGAATAAGCGACATTGAAGGGCTACGCATAGCGTGACAACATATCATTTATTTTCGCTTAATTACAGTCAACGGAAGATGAAGTAAATATTTTGGATCAACATAGCGAAATGGAACTAGATAATACATGAAAACTTCTGGGGCGTGCGTCTTGATCAAAATATACTCGAAGGTGTGGCGGACGACCTTTTTTATATTTTCAATGGTTGCTCTTTTTCTTTCCATCTTGGGACGTATTTTTGTGCGTCTCCTGGCTCATTTTATTATCTACATGTGGTATTTTTATACACTCGCATAAAAAGCGATCGCTTTAGTTTGTACGACACGATATTTAGCCATGAGCAATAGATTTTAGAGTGAAGTAACGAGATCAAAATGTGCTACCTCTTATTCGTGCAGCCTTTTAGATCATACCCTACTTTAACCTTTATCTGATACCGAAGGCTGCATGAGAACTGAAAGCAGCAATGCGCTCTTGCCTCTATTGATACACGAAGGATACCTGAACAAAAAGTGACATCACTGGTTACTGCACCTTCACTCTTCAAATTAGCTTGCGCTTGAAGCCACAATCCTCTCATATAAATGAGTGACGAGCTAACTTTCCATCGTCGCGGTGGGCGCGTGCGTGGGGTCGAAGAGTGTCGCTCCGATGATGTTCGGTCGCTATTGGCATGTGTAAAGAAATTCATGCTCGCCACCACAGAAGAATGAAACCATGTGATGAAAGAATACCACCGCACGCGCGACCCCAAACGCTCGTGCACGAAGTGATTGTGAGCACTTAAAGCTAAGTTTATGAACTTGGCACGTTATACCCAATGTGGAGAGAGTACCCGCTGTGACATGGCGGAAGCCAAAGCAGTTCTAAAGCTGATTCAGTCGAAAATGGTGAACAAGAAGTGTCTTCAGCGTCGAGGGAGTTGACCTCAAGGTGCTCAAGGGTACTCAGCTGCAGATTCTCAAGCTCTATTACAAACCATACGAACGATTTTGCCCGTTTCAAGACAAGACTGGGGCCTCGTAGCAGATGAGTATTGTCGCGACTATGCCGTCCCTCACGATCGACGTAGTCGAGGCGGTCATATACTGGATAAGAAGTATCGAAAATGGCTTAAGGCTGACTCGAAAGGTGTGGAACAAGATAAAGCGAGCCTAGTACTTGCTTTTAAAGCGCAGATCGGCGCCAAAGCGTTAAAGAAGAAGAAAACGACTTTGTCAGAAGATTTGAGGACAAAGAACGTGATGGTGGTGACAACGAGAAGCAACATGAAAATAATTAAGGCTGGCGGTAGGAGAGAGACTGTGATTGCTGAGGAAGTAGAGAATAGAGAGGAAGAAGGTTCTACCACAAGCAGTAAAGGTGGATACACGAGAATTGCTGCTGCTAAATTACGATGAGGTGGAAGAACTATCACACAAGAGGTATACTCGGCATCGTGTATAAGAGATGTGCGATCTTGTGTCAGAAAAGATTTATCACCGATGACAAATCTTTGGGAGATTGTGAGAAGCGGGTGGTTCAAATGATGGACCAAAGCTACGGATTAAGATCCAGTACAGAGAACCGGTCAAACTGAAAGAAGAGGTACATGAAGCTCGCACCATTTGAGGTGAGATTGATCGCCAACAACTTTTCGAAAGAGTCGATGGTATAACAGCGCAATATATGATCACTCCCCATCCACTGAATACAGCCTTACAAAAGGCGTTATATACTGAAATGTTTCGACAAGCTTATATAAAGAAGACAGTTTACCTTCGATGCAGCAAAACTTGGTATCTGGTTCATCAAGTTGTTCGGCGAGGGAAAATACCTTGATCCGCATGTGCCAATAACCTCCAAACCGACAGCTTCATTAAATACTCGATTGCGATATAAACATGCATGATGTTGCGACGTGCGAACTTGGCTTATAGGACCGCGCGACTAGCCTCAGCTTTACTAGTCTAGACAAGTGCATTAGTATGCACGCAAATGTGAGAGCTTTATATTTTGGTAGCATGTTTGATTTCGATCTCGATGTATTAACAACCAACAGTGGAGCCAAATAGGATCAACGTCACACTATGGATGTGATAAAAAATCCCTATACAGCCATGCAGCGAAAAAGAGCATCTTATCTACAATACAACCAGAACATCATCAACACGTCGCGAAAAACGAGGACAAGCACGCTGTACATAGATCTGAATACATAACTATCCGTAGTTTTTTTGCTGCAATCTAGGCTGTAATGGGTTCGCAAGTCTGTTGGTAACCGGTTTAACACTTGTGGCTCACCTCAGGGATGAGATCTCATTGAAATTGGTATTGAAACACCT